AAACCTTCATGATAATTTGGGATTAGCGTTCTTGGCAATTTCACAATAGACTGAGAAAAAATTACTTGTCTTGTGTGGTTTCTCTAGCTCTTACAGTATCATCATAATACAGTACAATGAAAGAACAGTGTCCTAGTCAAGGTCTAGAAGTTTGCATTGCCTGGTCCTTGACCCCCTCATTGTTTTTCTGTTTTGCTTATCTCCTCCTTTATCACCAGACTGTAATCACACTTTGTTTCTAGCTGTTGGTCCACCCTGCCACATGGATCCGTCACTCATCCCCTTGTCTTAGATCTGCTCACTCTGTGCGCAGCATTCTGCTTTCTTATGCTCATGGGCATGCCCTCCCTTTTCATCTCGGCTCAAATGTGAATTTCAGAGACCATCCCTGGATGTTTCACCTGAAACAGAGAACCCTTCCCCTCTGCATTCCCTCTTACCCTGCTTTCTCTTTCTTCAGTGAATTTATCACTATCTGATATATTTTATATTACTGGTTTATTTTCTGCTGACTGTCCTAAGCTACACACTTCAGAAGACCAGTGACTTGGTCTGTTCTTTTTCTTCTTAGACCGTCCAGTTAGAACAGTTGATGTACTGTGCTCAAAAATATTAGTCACAGACTGAAAAATTGGGCAAAGGCTAGTAACTCTTTTCAGGGGAGAAAAAAAAATCAGCAGCTTGTGTTATAGCTGGGAACTGTACATAAGCCTGGTCAGACATTTCAGAAGTTCCTTTAAAGAACAAAACAATACCAACCATCCACTTTATTTCAGACACTATTTTTAGTACTAGCAAATACAAAGAAAGATATGGATTAGTCATCACTCTGGAAAAATTTACAGTGCCATGGGGTAGGGAGACAGGTTCACAACTAAAATCAGTCCTGACTGGATTCCTTCTGAAACCTCTACAAAAAAGCGACCTGTCATTTCTGGAACAGGAAGCAAAATCTGGGCCATGGGAATTGGAAGGGGCTTTAGTGAAGGGGGTACCTTGACAGAAAAGGTGATATCTTCGATGGGGGTGGGAGGGACCAGAACAGAAAAAACTTGGGAGCATGAGAGATCATGGACTATTGAGCAGTCTTTGGCTTGAGTACAAGAACCCTTCATGGAGTGGGAGAAATTTAGGTTGAAGACATGTAAAGTATTTGGAAAACACATGCCGTTGTGTGCTACTTGGTCTTTTATGACATGCAGGCACCTAACAGGTCTACCTACAGGTGCGCTCTTGTGTGGTGCTGGAAGAAGACAGGACATCCCCTAGAATACTGAGGAGAACATTCAGAAGTGAAAGCCAAAACCACTGAGGCCCCAATATGTCAGAAAGTTGTATGAATAGCGTTTGATAAGGGACACAAAGCCAAGACACTTAGTTAGGCAAAGGAAGCCAAGGGAACTTAGTTATGACTAAAACATGTGTTCATGTGTCTGGGCTTCTGCTGCCCTGTGCTGGGGTCATGACAGGGGCAAAGACGGTACAAGAGGAATAATCAGCCAGGTCTGCGTTAGGTCTGCACCACACCTGAGGTGAGTGTTGGAGAGCAGCCACGGTTCCATGGTTCGAGAGGCTTGTACTGGATTGAACACGATTGCCTTTTGTAGATCAAAACTTGCCAAGTCACTCACAGGATCACATCATTCATCTTACTTTCTCGTGATCTTTCTCAGAAATGTACCTCCCGGTTTTCTATGTTAGTCTGGTTGCACCCCTCTCTTTTCCAGTATCTAGTCCAAAGTGATATCCCATTTATGCAAACATTTTATTCTCTCCAGGAAGACCACACGAGCATGCCTGAAATTCTCCTGACCAGGCTGCTTGGTCAGTCTCGCTATCTGCTCTCTGTCATCTAATACGATAGGCTGCTGAAAACAAAAATGCTCGGTACATCAAAAGAGCACATCGTGGATCTAATTACTCGTTTATTATGTAAGCATTTACAGGCATAATATATCTAATAAAAATAAAATGTATTAGAGATGAATGGTAAATATGCAATGTCAATGTACTTACTATAAATGTTTTAGATCAATTTTTTGTCATTCAAAAATAAACAGTTCATAAAATTCAGAATTAATTACTATGATAATTGATAATGAAATAATGTTATTTAGTACTTTTAAAGGTCACTGTCAAAGAAAAAGAAAAGCATATCAACAGGAACATTACGGAGCCCTCAGACTGTTAAACGGCTCTTCCCGCTGAATGGACAGTACTAGATGGGCAGGGAGGATATAATCACAACTGGGTGTTTTCTTTAGGCCCTAATTATCAAATCCCATTTCTAGATTGATAATTTGGAAGATATTTTGACCAACTTTTTTTTTTCCCTGTCTCTAGGGGCTTCGATCTTTCAATTGATAGCAAATTCTAGTATTTATTAAAAAACAGAATCTCAAGGTCATCTCTGAGTCATCTCTGATATCTCTGACTCATCATCTCAGACATTCAGGTGATAGCAAAATTTGATAATTCCTAAGGCTGGAGGCTGAGATTGGCTTGCACACACATGTGCTGATACCAGACCCCGTGCTGCCTGATTGCTGGTCATAGTCGATGTGGAGCACCTAATGATAGGTGTGTTGGATGGATAGCAGGTTGTGCTCCAGGCCAGCTGTGCCCTCGCATCTGGATGCGTGGACATCAACATCATTGGTGGAAACAGCATTCTCTTGGCTCTCAGCATGAGGGGCAGATCTGTCGTCATCCACGTCCACATTGTGGGTCAAACGACAGACATTTTATGTCTGAGCACTTTGTAGTCAGGAGTTCTCAGACTCAGTTAACGTAGAAAATGGTATCATCCCACATGCCGTAGTTGATTTCCTTGTAAGAAGACATTATGAATTTTAGCATCATGGAGGCAGAACAAACTTCTAGAAGTCTAAGGCTTACTAACAATCATAGTAACGGCTAATATTTTGAGCCCTGTATGCGGGGTCCTGTACGTGAACTACTTAAGTCCCTCAGCTGTCCTTGGAGGTAGGAAGTGGTTGCTGAGGATGTATAAATGAGACTTGGAAAGACTAAATTGCTCATGGTGGCCAGACAAAGGCCAGGAGGCTCAACACCAAGTCTAGCTTCCTGACTCCTGAACTCAGCGCTGTGTTCATTGCCAGAAATGTGGAGTGCCCAGCCCCCTACCCAGCTGGGAGGCCATGCCACATGCAACCTCTTTTCTGTTAGAAACCATTGATGTGAATTGCCTTTTTTAAGTGGGGAAAACATAAAACTTGGTTCAAGGCATCCCAAGTATTAAATTCAAGCAAATCCACTTCTAGATCTGTTCAAACAAAGGCCATCAACTTGAACTCCAAGGTCTATCCTTAAGTAAACATGTTCTCTGGTGCATTCTTTAGCTTGTGTTACGTGCAGGAACACTTTTGTTCTTCTGGAATCATTAGCGTAAGGATTGCCTTCTTCATTTGATAGCCTATCGGGTTAGCAGAGCACACTGGACCTGTTACCCAACACCTGGTTTTGTTTCTTTGCTATCTGCCTAAGAAAGCAGATGTGACAATACCCATCTATTGAAAATCTTGATGCCATTGTGATGTCACTGGTTGATTTCACTTCTCTGATACTGCTGAACACTCAGAAGAAAAGTTTCTCTTCTCAAGTAGAATCAGCCACCGTGGGTCATTCTCTGGGCATGTGTCCATTCCCCACACCATCAAAAAAGTCAGCCCTGAGCCATTCTACAAACATCCTCAAAATTGTGAATTTGATCAGCAAGTGGTTAGATGACTAATGAAACCTAAGTGCCAAATTGTGCTCAGTCACTGCAAAATAATAGAGTAAGACCATGAAGAATTTCAGCAGGTTGACCAAGGGATGCATTTTCGGTGTGTGCATGGAAGCCATCTTGTGTCTGTTGAAGCTCACTTCTCTCCCTCCTCCCACTCACCAGTGCTGCGGAGTGATCTTTTACACTTGTATTCACACCACACTGTGTCTCATGGTGAAAGCCTGCCATGCCTCCTTCCACACCACTTTGCACAAAAACCTGACAGGCCACTCAGAAGGGGCCCCTCGCTTCCCCTCCACCCGGGAGCTCCAACCACACTGGGCTGGTGTCTCTGGAGAAGGGGATGATTTCAGATTTCCTTCAGGGCTGAGTTATACTTTCTGTTTCCTCCCTCATCCATTATTCTGTAAACCTTTGAACATCTTCATTTTGCTTCAAACCACCTATGGTGACCAGAAATCATATACATTTAAAGAATTTTATTGTTCCCTTCATACAATGTGAGCACCACGAGTGGGAGAATTGTGTCTTGTTTGTTCAGTAACCTCATTATGTAGAACACAGTCTAACACATAGCTGGCCCTCAAAACATATTTTTTATATGAATCCACAAGAAGCATTTTACTTAATACGTTCTATGTGGTTAGCATTTAAGACAGAGCAAATGTTGAAATATATGGATGGTTTTGGTGCATTTGTGTCCTTCCTGTTTTAAGGCAAAGGGGCTTGACTCAATGTAGTTTCTTCCTGGCTGAAGACCATTAATATATCCATTTTGTTTCATAAATGGGTTTTAAGATTAAGGGAAAGAATATTCAAATGGATTTACTGATTTAAATATGCAGTAGTGAATGAACAATCTTACTTGTATTCTTTACATTTAAAAGTGGATCGATTCAAACACACTTGGTCTTTACATTTGCATTGCAGCAATCCTGGACAGTAGGTAGTAAGCGCCTGGGCCAGGAACACGTACCTATAAAGCCCACCACTCCCGTTGCCAGCGCATCTGCGTGGCCATTCGTCTCCCTTAAAAGTCAATAAATTAAGTACCTTTCTCTCAAGTTAAATCAGTTTATCCCCCCAGGGTTTTGTAATTAAATATTGGATGGCATGAACATCTTTTTGAAACTTTTAACAAAAGCTGTGTCTCAACCAGCAAAAAGGAACTTGTTCACTTTCTCAGTTGTTTAAAAAAAATGTTCCCTGTGTATTTTTTTCACAGTTCATTTTTCTTTCCCGTTTTCAGAAATTGAAAAGGGAGGCTGTGGGGACCCTGGAGTTCCTGCCTACGGGAAGCGGACTGGCGACAGCTTCCTCCACGGGGACACGCTGACATTCGAGTGCCAGGCGGCCTTTGAGCTGGTGGGAGAGCGCGTGATCACGTGCCAGCAGAACAACCAGTGGTCCGGCAACAAACCCAGCTGTGTATGTGAGTACTGCGCTGGCCGGCGGCTCTGTCCTGCGACTGCCAGGCAGGGGAGACGGAGGGAAAGGGGCAGGTGCACCTCGGAAGGGGAAGCATTCAGAACCTCTGGGGAGTGCTCCGTTGACCAAACAAAGCAGGGGTGTTCTCGAGCACCAACTTCCCTGCTTCACTCACGCAGGTAAAGCTAATCCATGCTATGGCTCCGTCTCCTACATAACTTGTAGCTGAGATCTCTCTGCCAGCAAGAACAGACCATGCGCAGAGGAGCCTTGCCTCCTTCTAGAGCTTCTGAAGTGGGAGGGTCTGAGACACCCACAGGCAATGGACCTGATAGCTTTGATAATGTCTAACACAGAAACACCAGTTGTGAGTGTGGGTGACATCAGCTTATGGTGCCCAGAATTGCCTGCTTCCTCCTAAGTACAGGGTTTTAACAAATAGAAACAAAGTACTTCATGGTGATCTAAAAGCAAGATTTTTTTTTTTTTTTTTTTGGTAACTGAACGTAGCATGTTACTAATGTAGCATTTTTTGTGACTCAGTGTAACATGTCACCTGAAAGACAAATAGGGACTTGTGTGGATTGAAAAGCAAAGCCACACCCTAGAAATAATCCAACAGGTGTCCTCTCAACATATGTGTGTATATGTATGTAAACTCATTTTAAGTACATGCTCTTAAAAGGTAAATGTTTCAAGAGATTTTTATATTGTCCACCCAGTATACGGTCTGAATTTTTTTATTGTTACCCGATAACTAATAATACATAAATAACTTGGAAAAATGCATTTTAAAGGCAAACATAAAATATAAAGAGAAAAGGTATCCAAGAAGACTAAACAGAACCAATATTATTTCTGGAAATTGCTCCTGAGACACAGACATAACTTTTCATATTAATGTTTGCTCTTCCGAAGGCAGAAAGTTATAACTAGAAATTCTAATATTTGCTCCAGGTTTCCACGACCTCGGCTCGGATCATTTCGGAGTCAAGCTTATACTCGATTATGTGTGGGCTCTGGTTGTAGTGTGTACCATGAAATATTCTATTTACAGTTTAGGGAGCGAAGGGATGTTATGGTGTAGGATTACCGATGCAAAAGTGGTTGGACGGTCCGAGCTCTGCAGGTGTGGGTGCCTTCAGAGGAGGCTGCCGTCAGTCAGCGTCACGTGGCCGGTTGTTTGGCTGTGTGCAAAATGGTACGAAAACGTGTCTGTGTCTTCACAGTTTCCTGCTTCTTCAACTTTACTGCATCGTCGGGAATTATTCTCTCACCCAATTACCCCGAGGAATACGGCAACAACATGAACTGTGTCTGGTTGATCATTTCCGAACCAGGAAGCAGAATTCACCTCATCTTTAACGATTTCGACGTGGAACCCCAGTTTGATTTCCTTGCGATCAAAGATGACGGCATTTCTGATATCACCGTCCTGGGCACCTTCTCGGGCCACGAGGTCCCCTCACAGCTGGCCAGCAGCGGGCACATAGTCCGCTTGGAATTCCAGTCCGACCACTCCACGACCGGCAGGGGGTTCAACATCACTTACACCAGTAAGCAAGCCTCCCCCTGCACCACTTCTAGGCCCCCTTTATTTAAATGATTGTGGCATGTGGGGTCCAGGCTGACGCTTTGTAAGGTAATGGGAGTAACACAATTAGACAGTGTTGTCCCATCAACCTAAGGGCATCACTCCATTTGGGCTGGTGTCTCTGTCAGCCTTATAGTAGGGTTAGCGCTCATGTTCCTTTTTTCTTTCTCTCGTTTTCCTTCCTTCCTTCCTCCCTCCCCTCCTTCCTCTCCCACTTTCTATACCTATTTCCATCCATCCATCCATCCATCCATCCATCCACACATCCTCCATTCAAAGAAATAGTGTAGTGAAAAGGATTGAGGCATTTGGGGTCTAGAGCCATGGATTAGAACACCAGCACTTGTATATACTTAGTGAATTTTGGTAAGAGGACACTTTTCTTTGTCTCAGTGTCCTCATTTGAAAACCAGATTGTATTTAAGAACATCTACTTCAATGCATTATTGAGGGAGTAGAATAAGGTAATAATATTAAAGATGAGTTATAAATCATAATTTGCTAAGAGAAGTCATCAACTTCTCTTAGACGCTGTGCTTAGGTTGCCAGGAATCATTTCATTTAATATTGCAGTAACACTGCGATATAGGCTTGGCATTCCTCATCTGTAAATTAGAATATCTAACCAGATCATCAGAATGTCTGCTGAAGGGCAGGAAAAAACACAAGAGCCAAGGTTCTAACCCAGATGTGTCTGAATCAAAATCCCTTCCAGCCCCTGCCATATTTCTGTTTTTTCTTAATACATGTGAAAAGTGCTTTCAAACTGTGAAATGCAGTATAAATGACAGTTTTACATATCTGTGTACCATCTTTTCTTTCTCTTTCCTTCTGTCTTACTAGGTATCAGTATCTTATTTATTTAATGCAATTATCGGTCTATAAATGCAGAACTGAACTTTGGAACAATAAATGGCTTTATTAGTAGGCTTTGTTTCTTTCTTTTTTGAATACACATGTTTAATATTAAAGTATTTCTATTCATTTGTTTTCCTTTTAGCATTTGGTCAGAATGAGTGTCATGACCCTGGCATTCCCATAAACGGACGGCGTTTTGGTGACAGATTTCTGCTGGGGAGCTCAGTTTCCTTCCACTGTGACGATGGCTTTGTCAAAACGCAGGGGTCGGAGTCCATCACCTGCATCCTGCAGGACGGGAATGTCGTCTGGAGCTCCACGGTGCCTCGCTGCGAAGGTGAGCGTCTCCTCTCATTTGCCAGTTATCTCCCTGTGCAAGGGCGCATCGGACTTGACAAACAAAGGGACCAGAAACCATGCTGGTTTCCTAGGGCTGCTGTCACAAAGCACACAGACCGGAGGCTTAAACAGTAGAAACTGAGTGTCTCACAGTCCTGGAGGCTGGACATCCAAGAGCAAGGTGTCCGCGGGGCTGGTGCCCACTGAGCTGCGAAGGAGGATCTGTTCTGGTTCTCCACCAGCTTCCGGGGGTTTGCTCGTGTCTTTGGAGTGGCTTGGTTGCCAGAAGCATCATCTCAGCTTTCTCCGTGTGAGCGCACCTCTGTTTCCCGATGTCTCCTCTTTCTCATGACACCAGTCGCATGAGATCAGAGCCATGCTAATAACTCACCTTAACCAAGCGCAGCTAAAAAGACCCTCTGTCCGAACAAGATCACATCTTCAGGTGCTGGAATGAAAAATCCAAAATACACATTTTGGAAAGACATAATTCAGCCTCTAAGAATGGCACAGTTTTTAGTAGCTATGTTGTTTTATTGCCCTTAAGGTACCTGATGTAAATACTGCCTAACTAATTTTCTTCTCGACATTTCTACTCTGGAGAACTGTGTAAAAAAGCCGAGGGTGCGTGCAGAATCAGGAGCATATCACCTCTAATGTTTACTCATATGAAAATTAGTGACTTAGAATATATATTCACACCCTATCAAAATGTCCCATACATGTTGAGCTAAGAAAAGCTTTATAAAAAACTCATCTCCAATAAATACCAAGAAATACATTTTTTTAAAAGATTATTTATTTATTTATTTGAGAGAAAGAGAGACAGAGTGAGAGAGCATGAGAGGAGAGGTCAGAGGGAGAATCAGACTCCCCATGGAGCTGGAAGCCTGATGTGGGACTCGATCCCAGGACTCCGGGATCATGACCTGAGCCGAAGGCAGTCACTTAACCAACTGAGCCACCTAGGTGCCCAAGAAATACATTTTTAAATAGACTTTTTAAAGAGCAGTTTTTGGTTCACAGCAAATTTAAATGGAAGGTATAGAGATTTCCCTTATGTCCCTTGCCCCCGCAGAAGAACAGTCTCCCCCACTAGCAACAGCCCTACCAGACGGTTTCATTAGTTACAAGTGACGAACCCACAGGGACATGTCTCTATCACCCAGAGTCCATAGCTGCATTTTAGGTCACTCTTGGTGTTGTACATTGTGTGGGTTTGGACAAATGTATGGTGACATGCATCCATCATTAAAGCATCATGCAGAGCGGTCTCACTGCCCTAATGTCCTGCGCTCGACCCGTTCACTCTCCCACAGCACCCAGCCCCTGCCCCCACCGATCTCTTTGCTACTTCTGTCGCTTTGCCTTTTCTGGAATGTCACACGGTTACAGCATATAGTCTGTGGTCTTTTCAAATGGGCAAAAATTACTAATTTTAATGCAAAGCTAAAGTACCATTTTTGTCTATCAGATGGGCAAATATTTGAACACCTTAATAAGATGTAAGGTTGAGGAGTAACTGACATTTCCTGGACAAGCTGTTGAAGGTATAAAATTATGGCATCATAGTGTAAATTCATATTAAGGGTTTTAAATTGTTTCTTACTTTTTTAGCTATAAATGGTATTTCTGGTTGTAAGGACATATTCAAACAACTCTGAAAAGATAATTTTTTCCCCTCAAGAATGCTTTCTGCAGTATTAAACATAAAAACCAAAGATGCAAACAATTCAATTTTAAACAACAAAGAATGAGCTAGATAAATCACCACAAACCTCAAAAAAAATTGTAACATCAAAGATGTTCATCATATATTATCATGTGAAAAACCAGGTGATATGACCACTTGTGTTCCAATAAGCCATTTTAAACATATATTTAAGTATCTCATGATGATAATAATTTTTAAAAGCCTGAAAAGAAAATATACACCAAAATATTAGTCACAGTGATGGGTGATTTTTTTCCGCATTGTTAATTTTTTTATTTTCTCAATTGTCTTTGGCCAGTAGGTCCTCATTTTAGAATAAGTAAATTCAAGAGAAATAATGTGTCAAATATAACCTGGAGTTGAAGGTTATTTCCTCTCTAGAGTGACCGACCTACCGTTGCCAGGGGGCGGTCTAGGCAGGACCTGAATCTATATGGGGAAGGATGAACTCCCTGGCCAGCTGACAAGCCGTGCAGGGGGAGGGGCTCCTGCCTCACACCCGTACCCTTCAGTCCAATTATCAAAGTTAGTGTCCATCGTCTAAGGGTCAGGATTATGTTAAATCTACATAAAGATGTTCTCACTTTCACATTTTCATGAAGGGCTTAGTTTGGTGGGTGATGAACATCACTGGGGGTAGAAAATCGACAAATTGAAGGGAAAGAGCTCAACAGAAGCTTTTCCATCCCTATCTGTCTCTATCACATATTTTAAATGTACAGCTTTTAGATGTTACATTGTATCTGGTGTTAATAAACAGGTCATTCTCCTTTACATGTAAGTGAACATACACTCCTGGGTGCGCCAGTGATAGTAACGACAGTGTGTGTGCGTGCGTATTTGCTGGTGCCGCTCCAGCATATCATATGGGGGAAAATGACAGTACTTTCTAGTCTCTGCTCTCTCTGGCCATGATTCTCCGCATCCTGGGTGTGCTTCCCCGTAAAATGCTTCTGCAGCTGCGTTACAGGCTCAGGGCAAGTATGTCCATCTGCACGGTCAAGGGAAGGGAGGGGCTCTCAGAAGTGGCAGATGATGTTTCTAATAAAGTTGGACACCGGGAGAAAGTATCCTATTAAATGGAAATGAGCCATCCTCTCAAATTTGGAAAAGACCTTCAGAGAAGTTCAGTCAAAACTCAGCTGTGGGTTAACACAGAAAACAGTTAACACAGAGGACTAGTAAATGGTGGAAGAGTGTTTTTTTTTTTTTTTAATAATTTACTTGTACTGAAAAACCCAATTATAGAGCCCTGATGAGTCTCAGAAAGTACACACAGATACTCTGATAGTATGACTAATTAGATACTCCAACTGATGTCCTTGGTGAAGAGAAACAGAAATGCTACTTTCAGAATTAAGTGCATCTAGTTGGAAAAAATCAAATGGGAAAGGAAAGATTTAGTAGCACAAGCACATTTAATTGAAGAGACACAGAAGGAAGTTCAAGTATCTTAGAGTATATACACATTCCTTATTTTTTTTTCAAGTATTACTTGTTGCCATCAATTCTTTAATTGATCATAAGGTCGAGGCCACATGCATATGCAGTTACAGTGGAAACGTATGATATGAATAGAACCACAGACAATCGAAACATATGAAACGAATAGAACCACAGACAAATACTTGAGAGACACTATGTGGCAAAGCCTCAAGCCCGAAGGGATATGCTACCCAGAAACCCTGTGAGCGGGAACCCTTTCTGCTACGATAATGCGAGACAGGAAGCCTATGCTAGGAGGCAAATGCCCCAGGATCGAACAGAAAGACAAAAAGTGAAGGAACTTATTGATAATGTTAACAAGTTAGAAAAAAAAAATTAGAATGTTATATTAATAAAAATCAAGAATTAGAATAATGTAAGTGAATTATTTTTTTGGTATCAATAAGATAGACAAGGCTTCTTTGAATCTGATAAAAAAAAAAACTAGGAAGAAAGGCAATTATAGGTATTCAACAAAATAGAAGAAAAATAACCATGGTTACAAAAATAATAACTCAACATGATAATAAAATAATAAGTTCTTATTACTAATAATAACTTTACATAAAGAGCGAAAGTCTCACAATAAACCATTTCCTCTAAAAATTATGTTTATTTTTTCTGGCAGAATTTACTGGATACCAACACGTCATGTGTATAAATTTTCTGGCGTTTGTAGGAAAGATTTATCTCTACTCATTTGTTCTGCCTCTAGCCTCCCCATAAATTTCAGTGCAGCTCATTGTCACTAAAAGCACAAGTTAATTGGGGGTGTGTGTGTGTGTGAGTGTACAAGAATACATCATCAGCTCTATGGCAACAAATTTTAATGTTCAATGAAATTGGTGATTTCCTAGCAAAATATAAATTATTCACAGTGACTCAAATAAAAGTATAAAGTGTAAATAAACAGAAAACCTGAGAAGAGATTTGAAAAGAGTTTAAAGTTTGGATGCTGAGAAAGACACAAGCAAGGGAGGTGTGCAAGGAAGTTCTCTCCCTTCCAAGTCTGGAGAACTTGAGCGTTGAGAACTGCACTATCACAGCTAGTGCAAAAATGGCCCAATTCCTGTGTACCATTTTACAAAGGCAGTGTTAAGTGTAATATGCCTGAGCCAGATAATTACATAAAGCTATAGAAAAAATAAATGTAATCAAGATGAGCTTATTTTAGAAATACAATATCAAGTAGTTCATCCATGCAAATACTCAATGAATCAAGGAGTTTGCGTCCTACAGACCTGGCTCACTTCCTTCACTTTGTGAATTTGAGTGTCACTGGTGCTGTCCACCGGGTCTTCTGAGTCTTCTCCAAGCAGGATGGCGTTTCTTGGCCCCCTTGGGTTTGAGGAAACTGTTTCAGGTTCTGGCCAGTTAGGAATGAGTGGAAGTGATATATTCAACTTATGAACCTACGTTTGATTGTCTCCCGCAAGACTAGTTCAAGAAAGGAGCCCCTGGGGCACCAGGCTGCCTCAGTGCGTGGAGTGTGAGACTCTGGATCTTGGGGCCGTGGGTTCGAGCCCCACGTTGGGTGGAAAGAGTACTTAAAAATAAAATCTTACAAAAGATTCCTCTCTGTGTGATGAGAGAGGGTCGTTTCTCACACAGGCTACATATCCAAGAAAAAGGAAGGAGCCCTCTCATCACAGTTAGCACAGTCGTGGAGTTGTTCCTACACCATGATGTAATCTAAGCTGGCTGATAACGGCAAACCTGACTTTGTCACTGAATACTTTTTTGTTTAATTCTGTTGACTGAGAATATAACAATTAAAACATCCATTTCATCAGGATAAAGTGATACAAATTCTAACACACACGAAATTACAAAGTGATATGTAAAAGACAAGATATTAATAAATAATAGTGATGTGTGACAGTGCTGGCACATTTCAAGAAATATAACAACTCAAATTTTTTAAAAACCTTTACTGAAATGAAGGAAATATACAGGTTTGTATTTAGGTGGGAAGTAGGGCTTATAAAAATAAGGCAATTCACACAGATTTAGAAAGGTCTCATATAGCAGATTTAACAAAATAAATCTATATTTGCTATAGGTCTTTCTTATATAGTATCATTGAATAGTAAAACATGAAATAAGTAAGATTGTTTAATTTTGCTTATGTCATATTCTAAAAAACATTTGCTACAGCATGTCAGAAATGTAGGAATAAAGGCTAAAATATAAATAACTTATACAATGATTATAAAAATAATTATAAAATGGGAATAAATTAATAAATAAAATTCCTAAAGTCAATTATTAAAAATTAGTTGTTTTAAGATTATGATTGCATAAAGTAGTGAATGTTTTCTTCAAGAACTCAAGGTCATAAAAATGACTCTGATTTCCTGTTATGTCTAACTCTAGACATAATGCCCACCTATCACAGCTGATTTAGAAAAGAAACTGTATCAAGAAAAGCATGATCTGCCCAGTGGCCATTTGTGTTCTCCCCCATTAACATATTTTTGAAATTCTACCTCCCCTTTACTTGGAACAATTTTTTAAATAAAATTTAGAATATGCTTTATTATAATTTTGTATCCTGCTTTACATAATGTAATGTTGTAATTGCAAAAGTTACTCATAGTAACAAAATCTCGGAACATTATTTCAAATGTATTAGTGCCATTCCAATATGTAGTCATAAACTTTGCATAAATTTTTACTTTTTCCTTTTATTATTCCATTATAAATGAAGCCACCGTGATTACCTTTATAGATTTCTCTGTCAGATGTTTTTCTCCAGGAACAAAACCTGGTTGAAATCGTGTACAGTTTCTCAGCATTTTAAGGCATTATGGGTATATCTCCATAAAAGGCATTTTTTTTTCAAAAATGATTTTTTTTAACTCGGGACATTTGTATGTTTTATTTCTTATCTATGGATTTACAGATTTGATTACAAAGATGGCAAAGAACTTTGAGAAGGAAAATCTGAAAAAATATGTGGCTGGGCAAAAACTTGTGGAATATATGTCACTACTTAAAAATTCCTATAGCTTACACAGAAATGCAAAACCCATTTTCCTGAGCACCAAGCACATACCTTCCTGAAACTTCTTTTCTTCATTATAATCATGGATTATTCAAATGGACTGATGCAGATTAATTCTATTGAATTCGGAAGTTTTGTTTTGTTCTGTAACATTCCCTAATCATTTAGTTTGATGTAGGTGGCAAGTCATGTTAATAAAACAGACACCATGTAGAGTGAACAAGCAGAACACACATCACTGAAATGTATCTGCCCATGCACACACACACACTGACACACACATGCACACCGACACACACACACACACACACACACACACACACACACACACCCCACAGGGTATTTCCATTCCGATGTGAAGCAATTTGTTTGCTTGTCAGTAGATGTTTGTGGAATCACAAACACATATGCAATATGGATATCAGGGGTGTGCTCTCACGAATCCGTTGTGACAGTTGGATGTGACAGTTCACGGGGGTCATTCATCTCGCACTTACACCCTGACCTTTTTGGGTCATAGGAGCTTTGCTGTGGGTTGATGATGGATGTCGGATGAGGGATAGATGTGCTCTGCTTTCAATAAATGCTGTTTACGTGAGAGTACGTTTAGCATGAATACTTGAAAACCTGAAGTCCATGAAGACAAGTGCATTCCTGCGGTCACGGGCGCTGCCCGGGGCGTCCCCGTGCACTTGGTGGGACCTGCTGACACCTGCACTCTCTTTCAGCGCCATGTGGTGGACACCTGACAGCTTCCAGCGGACTCATTTTGCCTCCCGGATGGCCAGGGTACTATAAAGATTCTTTAAATTGTGAATGGATCATTGAAGCAAAACCAGGACATTCCATCAAAATAACTTTTGATAGGTAAGAAAAAGATGTTCCCTTTCTTAACTCGGACCTGATGACTCATGCATGTCCAATGTGTTTACTTAAGTGGATCATGAGGCTTAGAAATAGGATGAAATCTGGTTGGTTTCCCCAAAGGAGTTCACTTCAAAAGAAACAGGTGTTTGGTTGATAATGTTTCATTCTTCTTGAACTTTACCCTCTATGGCTGCAGCTAAGTCCTCTCCAAAGGCTTGGTCAGAGAGTGGCAGTCCCAGATCATTATTCCTCAGAGCTCGCAAATACTGGCCTTCATATCCAGCTCTGGGTTTTGGACCTGTGGCTAAAATACAGTCTGATTGCAAATGGAAGCCTGTGGTGTCCCTGAGGTGCCTTTTGGAAGAGCCCAGGAAAATGTTTTCTTGCTCTAGTGATGTTTTGGTTGCAGAACTCACACCTGTGAGTGACAGATTAGTGACCTGTGAGTGGTTCTATCCCCGGAGTGGTGTGGCTTCGCTATTTGATAATGCATCCGATAATCATTTTTTTTAAAGATTTTATTTATTTATCTGAAAGACAGTGAGAGAGCACAAGCGGGGGAGTGGGAGAGTGAGAAGCAGGCTTCCCGCTGAGCAGGGAGCCTGATGCAAGACTTGATCCCAGACCCCAGGATCATGACCTGAGCCGAAGGCGGACGCTTAACCAGCTGAGCCACCCAGGTGCCCCATGAATTCAATAATATTAAAAAATAATCATGCAATTTGAATTATCCATAATAAAATGTGTTTCCATTTGTCTCTGCAACAAACTCACCTTGATGATTAACAGCCAGAAAGGTTTTCAGAAAGATACCTGCTTTAAAATAGAAGGAGACATATTTGTTTAGTTTTTCAGCTTAATCTCTGAACAATTTTAAGCTTCCTCTAACAATGAACTTCTTGACTAAAAGAGTTTGGGTTTTAATATTCAGGATATTATAATGTCTCAAGGCAGATTAACACTGTTATATTGTTTTGTTTGTTTTCCACTAATTTTCTATTAATAATAATATATACAGGAAGATTTTTAGTGGGAATCACATTATCATTTAGCACTATTTGTATTTGAAGTTATTGTTCATTTTATTACGTCTGGTAACATAATAATCTCCAGTAGGATAATCTCCCAGAAGAAAATTAAAATTGTGGCTTATGTATCCATTATACTGGAGAATGGATCCTTGCATATAAACTTAATCATTGAGGAAAAAATTAACTCTGTAATATTACATTGGGTTCCTTATTAATTTTCATAACTTTCTGGTATTGAGAGGGGGAAGAGAAAGCCCTTCCTGATTCCTGGCATCACATCAAGTGTAAATCATTAGTAAAACTTGTGACTTTACAGCCTGGTTTGGTACAAGTGTTGAGCACACTGTTTTCTGTTCACACTCCTGAACAGAGACATACAATTTTTCTCTACCTTTAGGGATTAGGGAACTATGATACTTTGCTGAATTCCATCTGTAAGAGCCAGTATTTCTGACATTTTTAGGCATTTGTGATTGTTACACTACTCCAAAGATTTCTGTCTCCAGCAGAGGGCTGACATCCTAATAAAGCATGTGTTTGTAAATATAACTGTAAGAGACCCTACTGATGTTATTGTTGTACAAAGTGCATCGAGTTGCCAAATAGTGGGAAACACGTGGAGCGCCCTCTCCCAGGCTCCCCTGGGAATCTTCCCGCTGTCGCGAGGGGCACTCTCTGAGTCCTCACTGTTGCTCCAGAAAGAAGATGTGAAAACTGTAGCACAGATTTTTCAAGTGAGATTTAGTTCATGCTTATCCAGACCTCTTAAATCTAAGCTCAGATCACTGAGAAACCACAGGGTCTGTAGAGGACATTTTAGAAAGGTAAAAGAGGAAAACCTGCCCCATTGGACCCCCAAAGCCGAGCCCGTGGTCAGGGGAAGTGACCGGTTTTTCCAGTTCTCTGTGGAAGATCCGGGCCGCAGGGCCATCCCAAGTTCATTGCAAGAATATGGCGTCATCATGCATTTGCTCTCAGAGGAGTCTACGCGATCTGAGAACCAGGGCAGAGCCCGGCGCTTTGTGCACCTGTCTTGTGGTTACAAGCCGTGTGGCTAGGGATCCTGTGTGCCCTCGCTCTTCCTCTCTGTCAGCATTATTGGATGAAGAGGATGGGGGATGACTACCCAGCCTTCCACAGAGTCTTAGTCTGAAAGTCACCGAGTGAATCAGGGGTTCCCTGGGCATAAGCTGCTCCCTGAGAGCACAGCCGGACCCTCGGAAACCGGGTTAGCTCTTGGAGGATGAGCTGGGCCCATTTAGACAAATATCTCAGTTCCTGGAATGGTGTCTTCGTTGCTTCAAAGAGGACCCAAGTGGCTGCGACTGGGTATAAATATAACATCAGGCCAGATTCTCTGGAAGCATAGCATCCTTCTCGAAGAGAAGTTGAGCACTTTCTGGAAGCTGTTCCCATCATTGAAGTAGCATTTCTTTTCTGAAGCAGGAATGTGCTGATTCTTCTTCCAGGGGCCACAAAGAGTTAATGCAGCTTTAAAAGACACAGGATTTTTTTTTTTCCTGAAAAGTATTTAAAATATTGCCATGTATTTTGAATTACTCTCCTCCTTTAGGAGATTATGTTTCTTCATGTGCACATTTCAGGATATGCATGATCAAGCTGAATGGAGGATCATGACACAGATTTTGGAAATGTGTAATGATTGTTCACTAATTGGTGTTTTTTAGTTTAATTCCCCCCTCCCTTCCTTCCCTTTCCTTCCCTTTCCTTTCCTTTCCTTTCCTTTCCTTTCCTTTCTTTTCCTTCCTTGTTTCGTCCCTCCCTCCCTCCCTTCCTCTTTCCTTCCTTCCTTCTTTCTTCCTTCCTTCCTTTTTTCCTTCTTTACTTTGTCTCTCTAAACACTAACCTGGTTCACAGTATTTTTATTTTAGAGCTAAAGACTGCAGTCTTTTGAGTTTGGGATGTTGCATGACTCAGTATTCAGTACTAGGGTAGGGTTTAGGCTGCACCTTTTCTTCTGGAAAAACTGATGCTTCAATATCATTTGTGCCCAGGTGTTTTTTAAGTTTGTAAAACTCTAAATCTTTTATTTATAGTGATACACATCAGTTTGCAATTAATGAATGAAGATATCTGGGGAATGTCTATAAGTTAATGCAGCTTTACTTTTCTGACTGGATACAAATCTCCACAGATTTCAGACAGAAGTCAACTATGACACTCTGGAGGTCCGAGACGGGCCCGCCAACTCGTCCCCACTGATCGGAGAGTACCATGGCACACAAGCTCCCCAGTTCCTGATCAGCACGGGGCACTTCATGTACCTGCTGTTCACCACTGACAACAGCCGCTCCAGCGTGGGCTTCCTCATTCACTATGAGAGTAAGTCAGAAGGACACGCTGGCCATCACTGGTCTGCGTTCCAGATGCACGTCTGGGTCCCGGGCATGCACCTGACCATCACTGCCTCTGTCAGCACCGCATCATCATAAGCACTTTTTCTTATTAATAAGAGAGCATCTTGTGGGTTTTTACTTTAAAACTCCAAAAAAGTATGTGTTTATTACAAAATTAAATAATTAAATAGTGTGTTCATTCACTACAAGATGTAATGATAAACTTCTACCATGAGAAATAGAGCTCCTGGCCAGAGAGGCTATCACTACAATTGTATCTCCTGAACAACAACGGCTTAGGGGGATTCTTTGCTGGAAAAATATGGTTAGGGCCAACGTGGTTCTTATCTGTTGGTTTCTTCACATGAGCATGTGTCCCTGGGGAAAGGGACATGGAATGTAGACAGCAGCTGGACCTCATGAAATGACATGTGACTATTGCTTTGAAAAAGTGTGAACAAGAGTTAAAATGATTATTAGAAACAATTAAAACAATTGCTAAAATATAACTGGGAAGGGTATCCTGCCCAATGTGAAATGCTTACATTTCTGTTTCCATACATACACATTTGTCTTAACATTAGCTTCTGAAATTAGAAGATCAGGTCGCTATATTTTATGATTTTATAATTTTTTTTTTATTATGTTAGTCACCACACAGTACCTCATTAGTTTCCGATGCAGTGTTCCATGATTCATTGTTTGTGTATAACACCCAGTGCTCCATGTAATCCGTGCCCTCCTTAATGCCCATCACTGGGCCAACCTATCCCCCACCCACTCCCCTCTAAAATCCTCAGTTTGTTTCCCAGGAGGCCATAGTCTCTCATGGTTCATCCTCCCCCTCTGATTTACCCACCTTCATTTTCCCCTTCTTTCTTCTAATGTCCTCCATGCTATTCCTTATGTTCCACAAATAAGTGAACCTATATAATTGTCTTTTTCTGTTTGACTTATTTCACTCAGCATAATCTCCTCCAATTCCATCCATGTTGATGCACATATTGAGTATTCATCCTTTCTGATGGCTGCGTAATATTCCATTGTGTATATGGACCACATCTTCTTTATCCATTTGTTTGTTAAAGGGCATCTCAACTCTTTCCACAGTTTGGTAACTGTGGCCATTGCTACTATGAACATTGGGATACAGATGGCCCTTCTATTCACTACATCTGTATCTTTGGGGTAAATACCCAGTAGTGCAATTGCTGGGTCATAGGGAAGCTCTATTTTTAACTTTTTGAGGAATCTCCACACTGTTTTCGAAAGCAGCTGCACCAACTTGCATTCCCACCAACAGTGTAGGAGGGTTCCCCTTTCTCCACATCCTCTCCAACACTTGTTGTTTCTTGCCTTGTCAATTTTTGCCATTCTAACTGGTGTAAGGTGGTATCTCACTGTGGTTTTCATCTGAATTTCCCTGATGGCTAATGATGGTGAACATTTTTTCATGTGTCTGTTAGCCCTTTGTATGTCTTCTTTGAAGAAGTGTCTGTTCATGTTGTCTGCCCATTTTTTGACTAGATTATTTGTTTTTTGGGTGTTAAGTTTGAGAAGTTCTTTACAGACCAGCCCTTTATCTGTAATGTAATTTACAAATATCTTCTCCCATTCTGTGGTTTGTCTCTTTGTTTTGTTGGCTATTTCCTTTGCTATGCAGAAGCTTTTTATCTTGGTAAAGTCCCAGAAGTACATTTTTGCTTTTGTTTCCCTTGCTTTTGGAGACTTGTTTTGAAAGTTGGTGTGGCCGATGTCGAAGAGGTTACCACCTATGTTATCCTCTAGGATTCTGATAGATTCCTGCCTCATGTTGAGGTCTTTTATCCATTTCGAGTTTATCTTTGTGTATGGTGTAAGAGAATGGTCGAGTTTCATTCTTCTACACATAGCTGTCCAATATTCCCAACACCATTGATTGAAGAGACAGTCTTTTTTCCACTAGATATTCTTTCCTGCTTTATCAAAGATTATTTGACCATAGAGTTGAGGGTCCATCTCTGGGGTCTCTATTCTGTTTCACTGGTCTATGTGTCTGTTTTGTGCCAGTACCATCCTGTCTTGGTGATCACAGCTTTGTAATATAGCTTGAAATCACACAACATGATGCCCCCGGCTTTGTTTTTCTTTTTCAACATTTCTTTGGTGATTTGGGATCTTTTCTGGTTCCATACAAATTTTAGGATTGTTTGTTCCAGCACTTTGAATAATGCCATTGGTAATTTGATTGGGATGGCATTGAGGGTATAGATTGCTCTAGGTAGTATAGACATTTTAACAATGTTTATTCTTCTGATCCATGAGCATGGAATGCTCTTCCATCTTTTTGTGTCTTCTTCAATTTCTTTCATGAGTGTTCTGTAGTTCCTCGAGTACAGATCCTTTACCTCTTTGGTTAGGATTCTTCCCAGGCATCTTATGGTTCTTGGTGCTATAGTAAGTGGAATCGATTCTCTAATTTCCCTTTCTGTATTTTCGTTGTTAGTGTATAAGAAAGCAACTGATTTCTGTGCATTGATTTTGTATCCTGCCACAATACTGAATCGCTGTATGAGTTCTAGTAGTTTGGGGATGGAGTATTTTGGGTATTTTATAGTAATATGTCAGCAGATATACTGTTGGAATACAGCTGAGGGAGTTCACCATGGGAATGCATGTTTTACACTAGCCGATTAAAATAAACAAACCCAAGGCGCTTGGGTGGCTCCATTGGAGAAGCGTCTGCCTTGGATCAGGTCATGATCTCAGGGTTCTGGGATTGAGCCCTGCATCGGACTCCCTGATCAGTGGGGAGTCTGCTTCTTCCTCTCCCTCTGCCTGCTCCTGTACCATGCTCTTGCTCGCTCTCAATCAAATAAATAAGTTAATCAAATATTTTAAAAAAATGAAAATAAACACTATGCCCTCTGAAAATGCTTCATTTTCAGAGTAAAGTGAAAAAGATGGATGAATGCAGGCTAACACTGGATCTAAGGGAATAAAACCCTATTTTTCAAGATTTTTATGGTTGTTCTTTTTCACAGTCTTATTCTAAAGCAAAATGAAGTTTCAGTGTTATCTAAAAAAAAAATATATATATATATACACACACATATGTATATGTATATACACACACACACATACAATTTTACAAATGCTAATGAATGAGGTAATATCTAACGTGTTAGATGTTTAATTATATTTTTTTTCTTGCTTTCCCATCCAGTCATCACCCCCTTGCTACTCGTGCCGGCCTCTGCAAACCCCACCCAACAGCTCAGATCAATGACCTGCGATGTATATCTCTCTGATTCACTTGCTCATGTATGGGATTACATGCACACCTGTACCTGCATATACACGTATACAAGTCTATGTGTACTTCTTGATGAAAAAAGTCACATTACACTTGTTTGGATAGCAAGAAAATTGACTGTTCATGATATAATGATCAATTTCAAATTTAATTCAGTTAGTTTCACTTCAAATACATGCAACTTTTATTTCAAAGTAACATGTTTTTTAGACTCAGGATACAATTTAAGAACCAGAGACTTTCATATTTCATTCCTTTCTAATGTCCCTTCATGTCATTACTTTTCTTTGGAGTAGAGATATGTGCACGTTAAAACCATCTGGATCTGCAAAGCTTCTAAAGACCAATGACCAAAATACTTATTCCCTCTGGCACAGCCCAGTTCTTAAGTCTGGAGCTCCTTGGCCTTTGAAGACCCAGGTGGATGAAACCTAAGAGAGCAAGTATTTTCTAGTCCTGAGAAACCCTAGAACATTCTTCCCTTTCCTCTCCCTCATTTGTGTAGCCATAGATTAGTTTGCCTGTTTTTTCCAGAATTCTTTAAAAAAATGTGTCATAAGCCTACAGGCAGGTCGTGGAAGCTGACGACATTTGCTCGCCAAACTGGTTTAAACAAATGGGTTGTTCCTCCTCATTCTTTCTGGATTCGAAGAATAAAAGGAAGTCAGCTCACACATTCTTACTTAGCTTCTCATCCTTACTAACAGAATATCTTACACAGATAATTGGAACAATAATTGTTACAATGTTACATGAATGACTCTGTGACATTTCAGGATTCTTTTCATTTCTCCCGTATGTGACAGTAGACCTGAGCCTTAGCAAGGCGTGCGTCCATAGCCTGGAGTGAGCTCTCAGGCAACAGTCCTCATTGTCTTTTTTTGTTCAGGGTGTCAGTAAAAGAAGACGAAAGCAATCACAAGCTGGTGCCTTTGCAGTGGAGTGATAATTGTGTGGCTGTCGGACATTTCTGATCCCTTGAGGTCTAGAATCCCTTCCCCCTCATCCTTGACAGGAAGAACAGGAAACTAGCTCTGTAGTCCCTGAAGACCGCAGAGCCATCGCTGGTGGCTAGGATGGGTAAGGTCTCCATAGCATCCAAGTGTCCCACACTCTTGGAAGGGACACAGGTCTAAAGCCCCAGGCTGACTTTTACATTAGGAAGTCCTAATCGTCCTTTCAGAAGGCCCCCAGCATTTTTATGAATTCCTCTGTAGGGAAATATAGAAAGTATATGAGGAAAATATTACCTGGGAACACCACCCTGAAGCTTGACTTGTTATCACCTTGACTGATTTGTCAGTTATTCTGTATTTGGGGAGAAACAAGGAAATGTGCAAAAGCAGGATATGGCATTTTCGTCAGGAAATGAGTCTGGAAACGCCTGGAATCTGAGACCCAGCACCTGCCAGCTGGCCTTGCGCGTAACCCTTACCTGCCGGCTTGGGAATGGGACAGATGCCGAAGACCGGCTGGGACGTTCCGTGTTGCTGCAGCCGTCGGGGGATGGAGACCCGATGCCAGCTCAGGCGGTCGTCCTTGTTTAGAAAGCGTGCTCCAAGGTCGCTGTACCTTAGCAGTCACCCGGGAATCCTGGTAGAATGCAGGCTCCTATGTTCACCGTCCAGCCAGGGCTTCAGGACGCCTGTGCTGCAGGCAGAATTCTGGGTTTCTGTCACGTCCTCTCGGGGGTGGCATGAAGGTGGCAGTGGGTGCCCGACCCAGCCCAGGCAGGCCACGACAGGTGCAGCCCTGACTCAGGAGTTCCAGGGAGGAGGAGAACCTGTGGGCAGGATGGCGGAGAGGAGGCGCAGGGGACACTCGTGGAACAGAAGAGTAGAGAGCAGAGGGAGAAGCAGACAGACGGGAAGAGAACATAAAGAAGATGCACATTGCCAACCCTGTTAAAATGTGGACCGTTTCTAGTATTCCTTGACGAATTCTGTTCAGAAGCCAATATATTGGAAACACTACAAAACAATTGTGATTGCTCATCGAACACATTAAAAAAAAAAAAAGATTGTCCATGACGCAAATGATTTATATCACATTCTTTATGCCATTTGAAAGTAATAATATAGCTCATCCCCTTTTCATACTTTGTCCTAAATGTTGGGCACTGTATGCCTTCCTTGCTTTAATAAAAATTATTAACAGTACTACTCCATGCCCACATGGGCACATGAAAATCTACTTTACGCACATTATCTGTTGCAGAAGTAGCCACAGTCTCTTCAAGATCGAGTTCTTTCTGCGGCGGTGGCGTAAGGTGACTGGAGCTACTGTGAGCAGCGCTACTTTCCACTCCCCTTAAATTGTAAGGCATAAGGGCCGAAGTCATTTTTTCAATGTTTTCCTTAGAGCCTGCCTAGAATTGTAGCTCTGTTCTGTGGGCTGAGTCTTATGAATCCTTGATCTTATAAATACAGGGTCCAATTACAGCCTGTCCTTTGATTACTTTTCATAAGGAATATGATACAGTTCCTTTATGTAACAGTCATTGTATTATCCCCCCAGAGTAATCATGTGCTCACTCTGTGTGTTTGTAGAGCCTTGAAATGGATGTCTCAAGTATATGGATGTTTTCCACTTATTTTAGAGCATTTTTTGGGAAATGCTTTCAAAGGTATCTTTTAAAAACATTTCAAGAGAGAGGTGGGAGTCACTGCATGTAATTGTTTATATCCTGCTGTGCAATTCATGCACAGTGTAATTTTTAAAACTTGGAGTGACACAGAAGTATGTTTTCTGGAGTGTAAGTGTGTGAGTGTGTGTGTGCACGTGCAGATTCGTTTCTGAGATTTAATGATATTTCTTGAGATCAAAAAGGAAAGCTGATTGGGATGTAGTGGGTATGGATGCCATGCCACTGGGAAGTCAGCCACGCTGTGGGCATGGGCACGCACGCCCACGTGAGCGAGGGAGAGAGCTGGCTGGGGCTGAGCTGTGAGTCCCAGGGGACGTTTGAACATGACCGAGTCACTTAAGTTCTCGGCTTGTTTCCTGCTCTGTAAAATGGGATTGTAACTGCTAGTTCACACCCTGCAAAGGCTGTGGAAAGTGACCATCATTGGGAGATGAAAGATACTCAGACTATCTATCCCCTTCCTGGGACGAGAACTCGCATTAAAACAGGCAGTTAAGCAGAACTTTGCTTATATCAAATGTACATTAATATAATCTGTGCCTGGAAGGCTTCAAAGTCACCAGCTTCTCTTACTCACGGAGAGCAAGTTTATTCAGTCACATCTTTGGGGCCAAAGGACGGGAGTGGATTTACATAGCCAGTGTCAAAAAATGCGTCGTCCCATTAAGTTCCAAGGACAGAATAGCCGGGAGGAATCCGCCTGGATCCAAAGCTTCAGCCAAATCCCTGGATGCCAGCTCCTCTTTCTGTCATCCGTGCTGGACACGAGGAGGGGGATTGCTGGAGGCAATGCCTTGGGGCACTCTTGCTTCAAAGTACTTTGCACTTTTCCTTCAACGTAAATTGGCAGCTGTCCTTACAGACTGGTCTTAGTTCATTTTGGAGGTCTGGTCCTCGCGGGCCGTGACACCTGCTTGGCCCTGCAGTCTCCCTGCTGCCATCTTGTTTTGAAATCCTTGCATATGGTGCGTTTCCAGAGAAATAGACATCAGATCTGTCACAGTTCTCCCACTCGACTGTTATCCTCACACGTACCCTCCATTCTAATATGTTTTAATGCAAAGGAATAGGGTAACTGTACATTCTACAACCTAATATTTCTGTCCATTGTTTTGTAAGAATGAATGAGCGAATGATGGAATAATGTTTTGACTTCAACATGGTATTTATGTCTTAGTTCCGTTTTACGTGTCCGGAACTCCGTGTTTCTATTTGTATGCTTTGGTTTCCTCAGATGTTTTTTCTCTATTTTTCCCTACACATTTGTGTGGGAAAAAGTGTGCTTACAATTTATGAATATTATTATGAATATTGTTCATTAATACATCATTCTCACGTCACATGAAATAATCGTCCCTATTTATTTTGTCTGCTGCTGTGAGCTTATTGTTTAGTGGTGACTGGGAACCGTCGGACAAAGTGGAATAATGTCGTGAAGGGTCTGTCAGGGATGTGGGGACCACTCCATTTCTTAGACAAAGCTTCTTTTGAAGGAATTCTTTTGTTAATCCATCTTCTTTTGCTAATTCTTATGTACCCATTGTAAACAGGGCATATATCCAGTATAACTGCTGACGTGTGATGGAAGAGGTCATAAACATTACCTTAGAATATGAATGTGTGTGTAGTGAGAGAGGAAGAGAGGGGAGCAGAGCAGGTGAGGGTCCTGGGACAAATGACGCCCACCTTGTTTTTGACAGAACTGCATCTGATGCAGGAAAGGAAAGCATGTACGCCTTTGCTGCCATGCTTTGCAAGAAGTCATGGCCATTACACTCTGCTGTTTAGGCAGTTAAGAACACGTTAGTTCTTAGGGAATTAGAGTATTTAAGAAAAAGTTCTTGAGAAAGTAGTGCTACATACGTATATTTTTTCCACTTTGCTTTTTCTCGTCATTGTTTTATTTTTTCCTTTGGAAATCTTCACTGCGACGGTCTTCCATTTTTTTACCCATTGTAACCAAACTCTGGGGTTAAGCACACAGATTTGCAAAGGGTAAAATCTGCTTATTTTGCCAATTCTAAAACCAACTGCAAGTTCAGGGTGTTCCCCAAAGACCCCTCAGTTCTGATAGTTAGATAAAAGGACTCAGCCCTTACTAAAAGCTGTTACACTCACAGGCACATTCATTACAGAAAAGGATCCAAGTTAGACCAGGCAAAGGAAAGACACATAGGATGGATTCTGGAAAGGAGTTCCTACCCGCAGCTTCCGCTTGTCTTCTCCCCCTGGAGACATGAATGATGTCTTCCTAGCCACAACGCATGACAGTGCAAAGTCCTGCCAATCTGGGAAACTCACTAGAGAGTCCATGTCCAAAGATTCTGTCCGTGTTTCATTACAGAAGCATCATTGATTGAATCACGGGCTGCATAGTTGAACTCTGTCTCCAGCTGCCCCTCAGTGTAGGGTAGCCTGAAGTCCTACTGACCCTGGAGCATGCCATGAACAATAAGGACACTCCCAGCACTCGAGAAATTCCAGGGTTGACAGGTCACCTCTGAGGGACTAGACATCTCATGGAAGGCACATTCCTTACTGCCCATTTTTCAGCAGGGTCTCAGCTGTCCTCCTTGGGATCAGGTGCCTATGGAATCCTATTTTGCTGTACTAATGAAGAAATATTACCACTTATTATTTATTTTAAAAAGTCACCCTATAGTTTTATATCATCTATTTGACTTAATGAGAGAGGGAATAAGATAAGGTACATAACTCCAACTTTGGTAAAATCATGCAATGATTAGAAGTGTTATTCCAAAGATCATGGGGGGGGGGCAGCTAAGCAGTTTGCATATTGGTAATGATTTCAGATTTTTGAGCCATAGCCCAGGTCATAATTGTTATGTTCTGAGCCTTGTTGAGAGAGTTGTGTATAGCTCTAGCAAAGTCGTTTTTATTTCTTTGAATACATAACCATTGCAATGACATCTTCTTCCCCGTTCCCATTTTCCTTATCTGTTCAAGTATATATTCTAAAAATAAAGACAAATCTCAGAGACAAAGAAAAGAAACTCTTATAATGACATAATCATAATCACTTGACTTTTTATAGCACTTTACTTTTTAGCATCTTTTAGCATAGGCTAATTGTAGCCATCTTGAAAGTGGCTGACTTAAGTGCAAATTTGAAAAATGCATGGATGTATGGAATGCAATTTTAGAAAATCAGATCCAGTGCAGTTTTAATTTGCATTATGTGTGTAGGCTTGGATGCCTGTGTGCATATCTATGAAAGCTGAAGTGTGACGACTGCCAAAATCGATCTGGAACATGAAATATAACAGGAAGGGGGGAGGGCTAGGGATAGAAAACAGGACAATACAGGCTTCATGCAGTACAGTTCCCTGGTTTTCAAATGAAGAGAAGTAACATTCAGACATAAAGGGTTATTCTGTGTTGCACTACTTACATGTCATCTGGTAAACAGTTAACAAGGTATCTCTCTACGCAGAAAAACAGGATCAAATATAAGAAAATGTATCATTATTATTATTATTATTTTACATTTAGGGATTATTGGATTTACCTGAATAATTTTCCAGGTCTGATAATGTCTCAGAATATTTTATATGTATATGGAACAAGTGTTTTGTTTTGTTTTTTCTTGAAACCTGCAAATTTCCGTATGTAATACATTCTTTCTGTGCGTGCAGGTGTGACCCTGGAGTCGGACTCCTGTCTCGACCCCGGGATCCCCGTGAATGGGCATCGGCATGGCAGTAATTTTGCCATCAGATCCACAGTGACATTCAGCTGCCATCCAGGATACACGCTCAGTGACGACGAGCCCCTGATCTGTGAGCAGAACCACCAGTGGAACCACGCCTTGCCCAGCTGTGACGGTAGGTGGAGATCGACGACGCAGGACATCAGAATGGAATGTAGAGACGTGGAAATGTTTAAATTGTTCGGGTGGCATCTGTGGTATTTTAAAGGGCAGTATGATTTGAAAAGTTGTACACCTTAAAAATATTTTTGTGTAATGCTTAAAGTTTACCTAGCTCGTGTTTTCCTAGGAGGCAGAGCATCTGTTTAGAACAGAGCATAAACACTTATGGGGCAGCCTTCAGCCTTGTGCCCAAACACCAAAACGTAGGGAGCTTCATGCAGCACGTATGCTCCAGGTGGCATTTGTTGAAAATAGCATGTGAACCAGGGGAATGAGTATGTGTGTTGTACATCCTCCTACGTGGCTTTCCTCGGGACCAGGTCCAAGCACCCAACAGCCATCTGCTGTTTGCACTGTTCCCTCTGAGCTCCCACCTCTGGGGGACCGCTCTCCCCGGGAGGACTGGGAAGCATTTTCTCAGAAGATCCCCAGGTGGTGTCTTGGCCATACCAGCCACTCCCCCTGTCCTGCACAGATCTGCTCTTGGAAGTCTCAAGACAAGTAACATTCTTCATGATCCCACTGCATCGCTCAACTTGGTGCTAGGCTGTGTGCAGTTACAATAACCAGATACACAAGATGTTGCTTGTGTTCATTTGCAAACAAAGTAAAGGATTTGCCCTTTGCCCATAACTATAACCACATTATAACATTGTTTCTATGAAAAAAAAATATATTTCACCATAACATTTTTTCAACAATGTTGTAATATAGTTGTAGGTGTGGCTTACAGAGAACCATAAAATAAGTGAATTATCTATAGAAAGCATCATACTTCATAGCAAACTATTATAAAAAGTCCCATGAAATCAAGAACAGAGCAACTTTCTCAGTATCAGAAATGTTACTTATGTTATCCAGAAGATACTAACTCATATAATAATTTAAAAAATGGTATAAATTGTAAATATTAGAAAGAGAAGATGGTCACATTTGGCAGTAGGTACTAGTAGAGGACTGCATTCAGGATAAACACGAACCCGTCGATTTCCACAAAGGATACGACACATTAGAAGTATGATATCGACACACCCTAAAACTCCCAGGAGTATATCTAGCAGGAGATATGAAGGCTTTTTTTTTCCCCTGAAGACTTATCTTAAAGGAATTTAGATGTTCACAGTGGGATACAAAAGAGTACCCTAATAAGTGGGAACACTTCGTACGTTTTTAAATGGTAGGGATGAAATTTAAATATACAAGTTTTCTACAAATAGAGGACTTTTGGGGGGGAATTTATTTTTTTCTTTTATTCCCCAAATTTTATTGAGATATAACTGACATACAATACATATAAGTTTAGGCTGTCCAGCATCATGATTTAACTTACATATATTGTGAAATGATCACCACTATAAGTGTAGCTTATATAGATACAAAAAAAAGAAAAGAAAAGGAAAGAAAAAACAGAATTCTTCTTGTACTGGGAACTCTTAGGTCTACTCTCTTACTGCTATTTCTGTGTATCCTACAACAGTAGTAGCTCTAGCCGTCGTATGGTACATGACATCATGAACACTTATTTATCTTGTGACTGTAAGTTTGTGGCTTTTGGTCACTTTCATCAAATTCCCTCTCCTCCTCCACTCACCTCTGGTAACCACAAGTTACCATCTCTTTTTCTATGGGTTTGGGTTTTTTTGTTAAATTTTTTATTAGCATACAATGTATTATTTGCTTCAGGGGTACAGGTCTGTGAATCATCAGGCTTACACACTTCACAGCACTCACCATAGCACACACCCTCCCCAATGTCCATCACCAGCCACCCTCTCCCTGACCCCCTCCCCACAGCAACCCTCAGTTTGTTTCCTGAGATTAAGAGTCTCTTATGGTTTGTCTCCCTCTCTGGTTTCATCCTGTTTCAATTTTCCCTCCCTTCGCTTGTGATCCTCTGTCTTGCTTCTCAAATTCCTCATATCAGTGAGGTCATATGATAATCAATCAATCTACAAATAGAGTTTTAATTTCAATAAAGTCTAAAAATAACTGGTATTCTTAATAGAAATTAATAAACGTGTTAGAAGTTGTTCTGGGAGAGTAGAGCCTCCAAATAGAAACATATATTTTTAAGAATGATAAGAAAGGACTCTCTCTGGGACCAAAGCATCTCCAAAATCACCTTTAATTGATATGAAGTCAGTGCAAAAATATTCAGATAGATGAGTGATATGGTGTGGGCATTCTAATACCTGATCTATGCATATATAGGAACTTAATTGGTTGAAATTATTCCAAGTCCGTGAGGAGGGATGACTTCTTTCATAAATGATGTTGATCAACTTGGATGTTTAGGCACAATTAATGGAAAACATTGACAGATTTCACTATATACAAATTAAAAGTTCTATTTTAAAGAAAGAGATAAAGCAAAAGGATCAGACTATAGAAAATAATTGCTCTGTACATACATGATTCTACATCATGTTATCATACCAATGGGTGGAGGGAAATCAGCAACACACGTAAGACATGAGATCTGTGGGGGAAAACACGTACAGGCCATTCACAGAAGGAGACAACAGGCCCCAAAACACTTTAAAATATGTGCACTCTGATGTGGGCTCAGGAAAATGCAAATAAAGCATGGTAATTTCTCCACACTGTTGGATCTGCAAAAAAGTAGAAAGGTCAACTTCTACATCATTGTGGGATTTCAGAGCTGCCTGTTCATTCTACCCTGTTGCTAAGAAGGTGAAATGATACAATGTTCTTGGAGGAAGGAGATAATGAGTCACAGGATAATGCCTGTTGTACACGTGAGCATATACACGTATGTAATTACAGGCACATACGTAGGATATGCACAGAAACTGATGGAAAACAGGCATTCTCTAAAACTGTAACCCCAGTGTCCTCATCCGGGGAGACTGGCAGGCCGTAGGGAGGGGGAAGAGAGATTTCCAACTTCTATCTCTATGTTTTTTTTCATGTTATGTTTATTTTTATTACCATGTTTTATTTTCGTAATTGGAACTCTAATAATGAAAAAATAGATAAAATTTATCCATGTGATTAATGAACAGTGTCAGAAGGATACTAGCTATTGGACTCATTAAAATTTTGTAAAAATCAGAGAATATCATAAATAGTTACAAAAATATTAACTGTAGGGTTCTTTATCATCAATAGTTACAACAAGGACACAAAGTCTGATAAAGGCCTAGCCCTTAAAGTACTTAGTTGTTATTCACGTGTAACTGAACATCCGTCAAAATGTTTATTAAATCATTTAATCCAGAATTTGCAGCATGCTAATCATATAAATAATTGTGTTGGAGTATTTACCAGATATGCAAACCCATGGCTTTATTGGGCGCCACTGTGCAAATTATATATATATATACATATATATGTATATATATACATACTCATATATATATATACATATTTATATATGTAATTTTGGACGGAAGCTGAACATGGAATTTGGGAGTAGAGTGCATGTAAGCTGTTCCCTTGATTACGTTCTCGTTAGGGGTGGCTCAGTGGAGCAACAGCTGAGTTTCTGAGTTGCTTCTACTGGGGGAACTGAGTCTACTGCAGACTTTTCAGGCAGAGCTGGGAAGGTTGAAAAGTTGCGGAGTCTGTAATTTAAACTCTGTGATGAGAGCACCTGGTTCATCGTAGGAAAATACACAACTGTCGTCCAATTCACTTGACTCCTGATCTGGCAAAGAAAAGTGATGTGTGCGAGTGAGAGAGATGTGCCCCGACCCATCTGAGATCTGTAATTTGATTTAAACTGGATTCTTCACAAAAGAGAACAATACTCTCCATGTATTCTTGATTTAACAGTGGTAACTTCCTTTGTTTAAATATTTAAGTATCTGGCCAGCACACAACGTAGGCAAACTCACCTGTTCCCCTTGCCCTCTTCTTCCCCTGGAGCAAACCCCATGCATGCACTGGTTAGCCCTTTTCTGTCCCTGCGTATTGTGTTGCCCAAATGCCCCCCTCCTCCAGGATGAGGACACACTCAGCCGTCACTAGAATTCTGGAATCATGCCAGGTCACTAGCATTATTAACTTTCCAAAGAGCCATTTCTCCTTATATGCAGTTCAATAAAGTGGAACTTTGATTTAATTTAAACTTATAACCCCACATAACCATAGTCCCCCGGTTTTAACCCGTGCCAGCTGCTGTAACCAAAGACCTTAGAGTAGGTGGCTAATAAGCAACAGAAATTTATTGCTCACAGTTCCAGATGGCGGGAGTTGATGTCGGAGGGACAGCATGATGGAGGAGTTGTGACCCCATGTTGGAGGCTGCAGAAGGCCCTGCCATCTCATGGTGCAAAGGCAAGGGGGCTTTGCGAGGCCCCTTGTAGAAAAGTAAGACTCAGCCCTCATGACCTGCTCACATCTCAAACACCCGCCTCCTAAAACCATCACCTTAGAGCTCCAACATGAGTTTTGGGGAAATGCAGACGTTCAGACCATGGCATAAATATCTACATACACTTAACCATTCAGAACAGTCTCCTCTGTAGAGGAGGCATCTAGGCAGAGGACAGGGATACCGTCTCCTGGACCAGATAGACATGGTGGCACATTCTGCCAATTCTCAGAGGTTTGGTGAAGTAGAGTGAATGGAAAATGAACAAAATGTTCCATAGGAAACTATCTAGGAGACATGACATGAGGACAGACAGAGAAGGGCTCCTAGTGCTTGCAGGGAACTGACATGCTGTAGAAATGACAGTCTACGTTTGACATTTTCCATAGAAAATAAAGCACATGAGATTTATGCATTTATCTCTTTTATTTTCTCCCTACTCAAATGCATGTAAATTTGAAATTTAACCCTTCTAGAGGAATTTGTAACATAAGCTATCTGCTTTGTTTTGGATTCACTGAAAACTATTTCAGATGATAATAAATTTATGATCAAAGGCTATTAATAGAGCTGCAAACACTGGGAGATTTTAGAGTTTGATGGAAGAGTTTAGT